TTACTGTTATTACTATTACTACTATTACCTCCAACATTTTCTGTAGCGCTGTTCAAAAGATGAATTGAAGAAAAGTAGAGAGTGAAGACAGAACAGAAAATAATTAGAATAAAATAGAAAATTTGAAATGGTGATCCCTACCTGTGAGCCTAAAGTCTAGTAAGCATAACAATTTTTTTTTTTTTTTACAGTTTGGTGTGTGAAATGGCTCATGAGCTTACAATCTACAAGAGATGATGGCATATCTCCAACATCAGTGCCACAAGAAGCGGGATAGTGACACAATCACGTTACTGGCATTGCCCAAAGGGGCGGATCTGCCCGGAAAGAGGGTGGGTCTGCACGAATTACTTGCATGTCAGCCAGACGTAAATGCATGTCAGATTGCCTGCCAATCAATCAAGCCAGAGCACCGAGGGCAGGACATGCAGGAGGAACTTTTTAAGTGCTCTCCGCAGGGTCCGAGAACCCTGAATGTAGTGAGACTACCTGGGAACTGATCCCAAAAAGCAGGACACCAGAGAAATTGGGATGATTGGGAGGCACTCCATTGGCTACATGTTCATAGTAACATATCTTACCATGAAAAAATGAAATATGCAACTCACATGTTACTTTTTTAATACCATGCATTATGATACCACACTTCTGATGAAACCCCAAGGTGAAACACGTAAAGCGTGGTTTTACCATTTATTTGGATTGTTTTATATATTATTTTTTATTGTTGTGTCTGTTTATTATAATAAAGTTAATTTCTTTCACATTGTATTTATGTTGGATTGCACTCTGCACTATTTTGGCTTCCTGGCTTCATAAATCCCAATTGGGATACATCCCACTAAAGCTCTTACAACCTAGAACAGGTCCATGCTCTACTCTATGTTAGTATGATACCCTTTTTACCTTATGCATAGTCACTTTGCTATACAAAGTGTATCATTGGATATTTCTACTATTGTCTTCACATATCTGTGTTCTTGGAATATATACCATAATCCTGAGACGGGGATTATACATTCCACTCTTAATACAGCAGAGCTCTTTGAAGCTCTATAAATTGTGAATGTGGTTTTGCTACAGAACTTTACTCAATTATTTTAGACCCTGCTGAAATATGTATGCATGTGTACTCTATATGTGATCTCACTTAATAATTCTAATTTATTTAGGCAAAGTCATCTGTTTGTTTATCTATTTTGCATGTTCACAAGGTTTGGGAATCCTTGTATGATTGACAGTTTACTACATTATTAGTGAGCACCTATTTTTGTATTTTTTTCATGCTTATTTTAGGCCTTACTACCAATGTTCCACTAAATTTCCTTAAAAAAATAGAACTTAGCAGTCTTAAATGACCGGCAACATAACAACATCAATGAAATTAAGCTGTTATGGTACCAGGAAGTCCCTGGCGCAGGCTCACCTTAAAAGAATGTACATTTTTCAAGCCAGTTTTATTAATGGGTAGTTAGTGATTGGGAGCATCAGCCAGTCAGCAACACCTCTGCTTGATTCTGCAAGAGCCTTCCGGTTTCCAAATTTTGAGAAGGACAGAGAAAAACGGTAGGTCAGAGAGACAGAGAGCTTCGACACTGGAACGCAGACTTAGGGGTTAAACCCCTTAAGTTGAGCCAGCGCCAGCAACCTCCTGGTACCATATTAACTTTATTTTGATTAAGTTGTTATGGTGTCCAGAGTGTTCATTTAATATTAAATGAACTTCTGACACTCTCAACCTATCGCCAGCCACCCAGGTAAGCATTACTCAGAATGGAAGTAAGCCAGGAGGCAAAGGTGCAAAATGGTTTAACCCTTAAAGTATGATAGAGTACTTTGTTTTGAATATTTTTATTGTTTTCACAATATAAGTGCATAATGCGAACTGGTTCATAGTAAAGCAAAAGGTTGCCCACGCAGGGGCTTAAACAGTAATTTATAGCATTCGTTAAGGTGAAAGGTCGCCTGCGTAGGGGCTTAAATGTTAGCACATAGGAATAAATGCAGATTATCGCCTGCGCAGAGGCATATTGATCAGAACACACAGGCGTATTTGAACTTTTCAGGAATACACTTCGAATCATTACAGCATAAATTGCAGGCACTGAGCTAATACTGCGCACCAGGCTGTCTACGCTTAAATGTTAAGCTTCTTGGTCATGTCCTTTATAACAGCGGTTTGTGGGTCGTATGGACCTATTTCGCTCCAGCGGTGGCTGAGCATGATCACACGTAGCTGTATGAGGCAGATACCGCTAGTGTGATGTGATGATCAGACAGCGTGGGTCGGTTTAATAAATCTTAGGTGGGTGCAGTTTGACCGTGTCTAACTAGACCTGAACCTGTTGGTCAGCTGCAATCTTTGCATATTACCACTTATTTAAGTTATGCCTATCTGGTCAGAAAATAAAGTGTGCAGCTGGATTAATCGTGTATGTAGATACGATATGCCGCTGTTCCTTGATAAGCTAATATGGTTACGAAGGTATACCGCCATATCTTGGGTGCTTCAGTTTAGTTATCCACTGATGGGTGCAATTCAACTGCGTCGAGGTAGGCCTAAACCTGTGTACCATAGCAAACTAACGTATATGTGCTGCAGCATAAACAGCGTGTCCACGCCTATTACAATATATTAGGTAATAAATGAGTTAGGGTATAACAGTAAGCAAATTCTGTATGATGTTCATGGCTCATTGCAGAGAGAAACAGTAGTATGTCTAACTCCCGCAAAACCCATATAAGATTTAGAGCTTGAGTCACTTCTCTGGAGGGGGCGTAATGGCGCTCGGTGTGGCGATATGGTCCTTTGTGGACTCGTCATCTCCCATGGTTGTATTTCTGCAGGCTTCTCTCTGGTGTGTCCTCATCATGGTTGCTGCAGGGCAAGCATGTACATGGCGAGTTAACTGTGTCCACCTGGGTCTTCCCGGTTCCCCCAGCTGTGGCCGAGCCCCCCCTGCACCCCATCAAGGCATGCTTCGGTGTCTTTTAGGGAGTTCCACCTCGCCGTGGGCACTCAGAGATCGGAGCCATTCGGCGGTCTCCCCCCCGTAGAGTCCGCGTGGTCTCAGTCTCCTGCACCTCCCCAGCCTCAGTAGGGCCTCCCTGGAGCTCTAGCCCTGTCTTGCCTCTCCCATCTCCGGCCACTTACATGACGCCGGCACGCGCCCCCCGGCCACCGGTCCGCCGGCAGGCACGCGCATCTCAGCTCCACCGGGCTCGCGGAATTGGGGGCATATTTCCCCGGACCACCACCAAATCCAGGAATCAGGGCCGGCTCCTTGTCGACCAGTCCACAGCCCGGAAGGGCCCAGCTGTGGGCTCAGCCACCCCAGGGGCCGCGGCGCTCCAGCGCGGATCTCTGCTGCGTGTATGTGTTGTGCCAGTCAGCCATTTTAGCTCTGTACAAGAAGGCATCTCGCTCCGAGCACGCTTCCACCTCCAGCTTTGAAAGTTCTGACTTTTGGGCCGGGATCACCCCCCCGGATAGAGTACTTTGTATTGTGCATTCAAATGACAAATACACTATACTTATATAAAAAATATATGCTTTAAATATGATGTCTGGTCTTCTCTTTAATCTCATTGTGCTATGATAAATTTAAGTACTTTGATATGTGCTTCAATGTTAAATGGTAATGCTTTAAAGCTAGCACGTATTTTTTCCTGCAGGATATATGGAGTTAGCGGTTGTTAACATTTTGCACCAGACAGAGGGTGGTATTATGTTGTGAAGGTTAGTGGTAGCTGTTAAACAGTAAATACAGGGATAGAAACCAGTTGTTAAGTAATGTTTACTGTCTCTCACAAAGAATGATGGGAGCCGTTAGCCACTACTTAGTGAATAGCTTCAAGTAGCGGCAGTTGGTAACTCCCTGTCACTACTTGTGAAGTTTTGCAGTTACTAAACAACCCCGCTACTCACTAGCAACAGGCTCTTTAACAAGCAGCGCTTGGCCAGTAAAAAGCCGAGAAATCATTGTAACAAGTCCACAGTAAGGATATCACATTCAAGGTGAATTCAAAAGTGAATCTGAAATTTAACATCAAAATACCAGAACTGGAAATATTCTCCAAGTCAGCTGTGCATTCAGATTGGCTACTCCGGCCTTAAAGTTGAAATTCTCTTTAAATTCACTTTGACTTCTCACTTTAGTACATAACCCTGTATGTCTGTCTGTTGCTCCTTTGACTTCCTGTTATGTGGCTGTGTATTAAATAAAGCAGCTTTATTGTATATTACAGGAACACTATAGTGTTAGGAATACAAGGCTGTATTTATAGTGTCCCCCTCCACCCCCCGTGTCACTGAAAGGGTTAAATAACACTTTAAACACTTACCCGATTCCAGCACCCTAGACCAGGGATAGGCAACCTTCGGCACTCCAGATGTTGTGGACTACATCCCCCATAACGCTCTTACACCCATAATGCTGGCAAAGCATCATGGGAGGTGTAGTCCAAAACATCTAGAGTGCCAAAGATTGCCTATGCCTCAGTGCTGAGTCTCTCCGCCTCCTGTGACATCACAGTGATGGGAAACATAACACACATGCGTGGAAAGTGCAGGACGCATAAGGCCTTCCCCATTAAAAATCTTTCCTGTGGGGTTTTGCAAGACGCTTGACGTCCTGTCTGGAAGACAGCCACTAGAGGCAGTTGTAAACATTGCAGTTTCCTTAAAACATTGCAGGGTTAAGAGGACAGGGACGCTGCACCCAGACCATTTCAATCAGATAAAGTGGTGTGGGTGCCTACAGTGTCCCTTTAAGAGTGCTGAGAGGAAAGTAACGATATGGACTACACAGGGCAAGGTGGTACATTTCATGGAACTTGGATGGAATACTAGGGTTAAACATGAGCTTTTTATACAAAGTCTTGTTTTATAAATACCTTTTTTAAAAAACACTTTTTCCCCCTTCAGATTTGCACCTATGCAGCTTGTCCAGACAATGCCCAGGAAAATTCCCACATTGAGCAGGTCCAACAGCAGTAACCCTAGGACCCCTCCTGCTCTGTGTTTCATTCAGTTAACCAGCCATGGTATGTACTGTTTGGCCCATGAGGCTGTGTTCTTCTGTTCACTTGTAATGTACAATAAAGCTGCTTCATTCAATCCACAGCTAAGTTGCATATAATCAGAGAGACAGTAAGTGTGTCTCCACATGTCTGTCTTTGTTTATAATGTGCTTGCAAAATATATATCTCCCAAGTGTCCCTGTTTAGGAGGGACAGGCCCTATTTTTGGGCACAAATCTCTCTTTTCTATCCTAATGTCCCTCTTTACTAGGAGATCCATGTGGTTGGTGTGTCTGATTGTAACAGAGCTCCACAGCAATAATGCTCCCAGTAATGTGTCTTTAAACTGCAATAAATGTGTTAAGAAATCAGTCTGTGTGAATAAGATACATTGTACTTGTACTAAATTCCATTTTTGTTGCATACATTGTTATTATTAAGTCACCTGGCCCTAGCTACACATTGGAAATGTTGGGAGGTATGGAAAGTGAAACTGACAGCAGACAGTCAGATAAACAGACAGACCAGCAAGTAGTGATCTACTTACTAAGTTTCTGCCCAGATTCCCTGTCCTTCAAATGCAGGCTGCGTGACGTCCAACTCACCACACACCATAGGAAAGTCTTTTTTTTTTTTTTTTTTTTTTACCCAGGCCGGATAAGAAGACAGCCTTATAATTCAGCATTCTGCAAATCATGTAGCATATTAATAAGGCAAAACGCTATCAAATACATTAAAGGAACACTATAAAGTCAGAAACAAAAACATGTATTCCATACTCTATAGTGTTAAAATCACTATTTAGGCTGTTTAAACGCACCTTTTTTCCAGCTGTGCGTTGGTCTCGCCATGGCTGCCCCGTCTTGCTCCGCCTTCATTGCTGGACTCATTAAATTTGACGATCTCAGCCAATCCAATGCTTTCCCATAGGAAATAATTGGGAGGCTATTGCGCATGCGCGGCAAATGCCAAGCGTCTCTTTGCAGAATTTCACACTGTGCAGCACTGACCCAGGAATCACCTCTAGTGGTCATCTGAGTAACTGCCACTAAAGGTATTACTAGGCAGTAATGTAAACACTAACTCTTCTTGGACAATGCAGTGTTTACATTAAAAAGACAGGCTGTGGAAACCAGATCAACTACATTAAGCTGAAGTTGTTCTGGTGACTATAGTGTCCCTTTAAGGTTTTTTTAAAGCCTGAAATTTTGCTATAGATTACAAGAAACATTAGTTTGCTAAAACACACTTCTAAGCAACTTATTCTACCTATAATGGAACATTACTAACAAAATATGTCGCCATTCTATAAATGTTTTATAGAATACCACTTCATACATATTTTATAAAAATTGAATGGGGAAAAAAACTAATGCTTACAGAATGTCCTTACTAAACCTTATATCTCTTTCAAGCCTTTAGCAGTTTACATAAAAAATAAAACAAATAAAACATTCATAGTATTATGGAAATAAACAGAATTGGCTGAAAAAATCTCATACTGTAACAACCAGCTCTCTAGAGCAATTGCACATCTGGCAGTTTACCAGTCCTAAATTATTTTGTTTCTATTTTCCTGCTCAATTTATCACAATCTAGAAATCATCTGTTATAACCAGCTCACCCGCTACCTCAATGGATCAATATAGAAAAGTGTCCTTTCATTAATATTCTTTTAACAAATTACTTCCGGATGAATCAAAGTAATTGCCCAAAAGAAAATGTATCTTTTACTCATTCATTGTGCACAGCCTTGGAGTTAAAAAAAAATTCATAATTTACAACCAATATATAATATTCTGACACCAGATTAAAAATAAAATAAAAACAAGACAATCTTGAAAGTTCAATTATTTCAGTTTAGGATTATATGCAAATGAATTTTGGAGCACTCATAAATATACTAATTGTCATGTAAAAAAAAAATCAGGGTCATTCACTAAATACCAGATTTTATTCACTGAAAATCTTAATGACAAAATTCATGCTTAAGTAGCCATGCTGAATTCTCCCCATGAGCTATTTTAGCCTCGATTTTGCTTTTTGGACTTATTTAGCTAAAATTAATTGTGTAGTGGGTATTAATTGTGTTGTGAGTAACTCTGCAAGTCATTTTCCTCTAGCATGTAAGCTCATTGAGCAGGGCCCTCAACCCCTCTGTTCCTGTGTGTCCAACTTGTCTGGTTACATCTACATGTTTGTTCGTCCACCCACTGTAAAGGGCCGCAGAATTTGTTGGCGCTATAATAATAACAATAATAATAATTTTATATATAATTTTATATTCGGAGTCCTCACTAACGTAAGAAGAGCTGGAATGACAATTCAACCCCCCAAAACATGTGTGTGTATATATATATATATCTACACATAATAACAGTTGTTACATATTTACCGCTATGATATATCTCGACCATGGTACAACATATTTGGAAGAAACTAAATTCACACATTTTAAAAATTATCTACTAAAACATGCTTTTGGTTTGGGTTATTAAAGCCCTGGAAGATCAGTCAATTAAATTAATTTGCACGAGTAAACATGTGTGACATCATTTGGCAGAATTTATGAGGAGAATTAAAAAAAAACATGTAGCATGGAGAAATTAAGCAGTCTAATTGAAGGAAATACCAAAAAATTAATTTAAGTATGAGAAGCATGACTGCATTCTAAAGTATTACTCTATTAAAAAATATTGCTAGTTTCATTGTTGCAGATTCAGTAGGCTACCAGTTTTATTATTTTTATATTGTAATATTTATGCGATGGTGGATTGTGTAAATTTAATTCATGTGTTTACCATAATAAAACTTTAAAGAGTGTGTTAATTAATTATTTATTTTTTTTTAAAAAGACAAATTTAAGAAAATACAAAAATTACAAAATGGCCACTGTTTCTACAGTTAACATAACTCATTAAAACTGTTTGTCTTTCTTAGAAAATGTGTGTAAAGGTTTAGACTCTAGTTAATGAAATGACAAATGCGTGAGTGTAAATGACTCTTTCATATAAAACAACCACAAACAACTGTTTACAACATCAGAATCACAGGTTTTTTAAATGAATCCAGTACTGAGGCTCCGTGTTTGTTGCAACCTGCCCTTCCTTTTGTAAAATCACTGTGGAAATGTCACTTCCTCTTGCCAATCCAAAACTCGTCCTAGAGAAGCACTAGGGACGAGAAGCATGTGCACAGCGAGTACTGTATGCATGCCAAATCAAATACTTCTCAAAGGAAAACGTTGCATTCATGCTTTACTATGTGTTGCATCTGGTCACATTACAGAGTTTCACTCAGTTGTTGCAGAGGAAGCACCTCTAGTAGCTATCTGGAAAACCGCAACTAGAGGTGTCTTTAACCATCCAATGTAGACATTGCAATTTCTATAAAACTGCAATATTTTCCATAGTATGGTTAAATCTATAAGGCCACTACACCCAAACCACTTCATTGAGATGAAGTGGTCTATCTGCATTTAGCGACCCTTTAATGTCAGGTTTAAGATGTTTTTTATGAACTTTCTTCTAGTATGTCAAGAAGTAGGACTCGAGACAACCACGCAATATAGTGACACAGGTCTGGAAGATGTGGAAGATTTTGATGATGCTTAATAAGCTAGAAATAGTTGTAAAACCCATTGCTAGCTACTGACCTCTATACATTCAAAGTCAATCCAACATGGAACAAACTAAGGGAATTCAACATCATAACCTTACCATCTTACCCTTCCCAACTGAAATCACCCTAAGGACAAGTTGTACTATACTCTGTGAGATCACAAAGAATCCCAAGGTAATGACTTAGGGTGGGATGGCCTCTCTTTTCTTGTCTACTTTATTTTTTAGTCCTCTATAAAGGAAACACTGAACATGAGTGGTGTGTGTGTACAGGAAGTCAAGAACAAAACAATTTTCAATCATATATTAATTTACTTTAGAAGTTTTGTCTCCGGCTTTGTAAATAGAACTTTAATCACATACGTGAGGCTCCTGGAGGGTCTGGAAGGCTATTAACAATGCAAGAGATACGAAATTCGAAAATAAACAGAGGACATTTAAACATTAGATGACTCTTTACAGGAAATGTATAGGGAGGCTGTGTAAGTAACAAGAAGCAAAGTGTGTATATTTCTGTATTTTTTGCGAAACATTGCAGATCTTACAAAGCTCCTAGATCAATACCTGTAGTGAAATACAATTACATTTTTATTCTTTTTTGCAAAACCCTGACTGAGCATCATAGTTTTTGCAGTTCACGGCAGCCACAATGTAACAGATTTCTGTTTACCTATACAGTTCTAAAGTATGCATATTCATATGTAAAAAAAATTGGAATAATGCATAAATTTAAGGAATTATGATTTATCCAAAATAACAACATTTAGTGGAATGAAGACTGCATCATTGGTCTCTTAAAAGCTTGAAGGGGTTTATTCTAGCACAATAAATTGAAAAGCACAAGAAAATGTTAACTATCTTTCAAGACCTTTTGTGACTTTTCCTCTAAGCTCTATGGTGTCAGACCATTATATCTTAATCAGTTCACAAGTATTATTCTTCAAGAATTTCTATAGAATGTCTGTATGAGCAATACACCCTCAACCCGCAACTTAATTAAAAAAAACATACATATAGACATTCCAACATTAAATAAAAAAATAAAATAAAATGCACGACATCTGATAGATTATGGAAAAAAATTACAGCAACAGAAGTTTATTATAATGTTAGTGCTGTAGTTCCCATGGTAAAGGACTCAGTAGCTAATTAACATTCAGCATTCCTTAAAGTGGCAGGATGAAATACCTTCAATTTCACCCAAGTAAATGTTTAATTAAATTCAAGACGTAACATTTAGAAGTTGGAGATACCAATCAGACCTTGCCTATCTAGCTGCAAATATAGTAACTTCTAAGCAGTGTATAAAACATAGTGCTCAATTCACTTTATTAAAATATCCAATAATAATTGATTTAAAGGCAATAAAACGTGTTCATTAGAGGGTTTATATTCAAGAAATATTGAAAGTATACCTAAAACTGTCACTTTTATTGTGAGTGAACAGGATAATATGATTTGAACAGAGTGTGATGATACTCAGGATTTGTCCTGCAGCTTTATCCGATAGCTCGTAAAGAGCAGAAATTTAATATGATGCTTTCAGTCAGTTTAATTGAAATTTAAT